AGGAAGGGGATAGGTCAGTCCAGGGAGGACGGACAGGTCCAAGGGGGCGGGATGAGGTTGGTCGGTAGGAGATGAAGGTGCGGCTTGAGGTGGGAGGAGGGGATAGTGGCTCCATCCCCGCCTCTTCGACCTGTTTGTTTCCTCTCCACCTATCCTCTCCTCTATCCATCTTCTATCCGCCTCCCACTCTCTCCCTATTTATTTCAGAACCCCCTTCCCCTCCCCCTTTTCTGATGAAGGGTCTAGGCCCGAAACGTCAGCCTCTCTGCTCCTATGATGCTGCTTGGCCTGCTGTGTTCATCCAGCCCTGCATCTTGTCTCGGATTCTCCAGCATCTGCAGTTCCTACTATCTCTAAATACCCTGGAAGCCTCTTTGCAACCTCCACTCATTCCTCATCCCCACTAAATTTCGTATTATCTACAAAATTGGAAATATTACAGTTGGAACCCCTATCCAAATCTATTGATGTAGATTGTGAAAAGTTGAGACCCAAGGACTGATCCTTGTGGTCACAGACAGTCAACCTGAGAATGACACACTTATTCCTGCTTTGTGCTTATTAACTCATCCTCATTCTACTAATATATTGCTTCCAATCCCACATACTTTAATTTTAATTATTACTTCTCTGTGGGACTTCTTTCAAGAGCCTTCTGAAAATCCAAAAACACCACATCCACTGCATTTGCCCCATTTTGACTCTGCTAGTAAGTTCCACAGAAGACTTTGTGACATGTTTGTGAAGCATGATTTCCTATTCATAAAGACTCTGTTCAAGCAAACAGTTATTTTCTATATTTTCAGAATCCACTGTAAATTATTCTAATATTTTTCCTACTGCTGATGTTAGTGTAGTGAATCTGTAGTTCCCTGTTTTCTCTCCTTTGCTCTCATAGGGTTATATTTGCCATTTTCTAATCTACAGACACCATTGCAAAATTAATAGAATTTTCAAAGATGATCACCAGTACATCCACTATCTCTATAGCCATCTTTCAACACTCAAGGGTGAAGGTCATCAGATCCCAGGAATTTGTCAGCTTTCGGGCCCGTTCATTTCCCTTTAATATTGCTGTATTTTTGCTAAGACTAATTTCAGTTTCACACATCATTGCACTGATGTTAGCCTTAGTCCTGCTAAGATGCAATTCGATAAACCGATCCAACCTGCCTCAGAAACAGTCCCAATTACCCAGAAATTAAAGCCTTCCCAGCTGCATCAATTTTCCTGCCACATGTTCACTCGCTTAATCTTCCTATTCTGTGCTAACTTGCATGTAGAACTAAGATTATGGCTGGAGATGTCTTACTTTTCATTCTCTTCCCTAACTCCTTAAATTTTCAGTTTAGGACCTCATTCTTCCTTATAGCAATCTCATTGGTGTTAATATGGACCATGACCTCTGGCTGTTCACCATCCCCCTAAAGAATACCCTGCAGATGTTCAGTTATGCCCTTGACCCTGGCATCAGGGAGACGTCATATCACCCTTGTCACGTCTTGAATCACAGATACAGACTGTTCCCCTAACTGTCGGATTGCCTATACTCTTTTCCTTCTGATCTTCTCACAGCTCAAGACACAGGATGGGCATTTCACACAACTGCCATGGATTAGGATATTTTCAGACTATTTAGTTTAAACTGGAGCTGAGAAAGCAAGAAGTCAAATTACTCACCGTTTCATGCAGTGAATCCAGCTCTGTCTCTGACTGCCTGCCTTGGGGTTCTTTTTCTCACCACCACCTCTAGGTAATGCTGAGTGCCTATCTGCTTCGTCCTCTTGCCTAAATTAGACATTACAACAGTAACATGTAACAGTAAGCTACTTGGTTGGAATGTATCAAATAAATGATAAAAATTGCATTAAATATGGGGATTTAAAAAAAATCATAATGGTCATACTTGCACAGTCAGCAGACCTTTGCCTCTTTACAATTTCTTAAAAAATAGCTGCTTTCCTAAATCAAGATACCTCGGTTCATAAGTGGATTCCACTGCTGTGGTTTAACCCCAATTATGAGTAGTCAGGAAAATTTTCAAGTGATGGACCCTTTCTCATTTATATCCCCAGCGTTCGTTATGGATTCAAAGACGGACAAAATGGAAGGATGCCTTTGATGTATTGACTGCAAAGAAACAAAATTTAAGTTATGTAGTTGCAGGATCATTGTGTTGATTTGATGCTTGCTGTTAGGTGAAATTGCATTTATCACTGCAAGATTGCAGTTAAGGAAATATTTTGACCCTAATTGTAGAATTAATTATCAGCATTAGGTACACGCTGTAAAGTATGAAATCAATATTTCTTTCGTTCCATTTTTTTTTTCGGGGTGGGAGGTGTGGTGGCAGGGTAGCAGTGGCATTTATTTTTAATCCCTAGTTCCCATGGTGGCCAGTCGTGGTGTTACTATAGTGTTTGTGCCAGAGATCCCACAGTGCCTTTAGTTAAGGAGTTTTTGCATATTTAGTCAGCAACAATGAGGGAACAACAGTCCATGTTTGTGTTGGAATGTTTTGTGATCGAGAATCTTGCAGGTAATACTTTACCCATAGTTTTGTTGCCTTCTCCTTGATGGTAAGGTTATGGAATTTTGAGATGCTGTTGAGAAAAGCTCGCTGAGTTGCTGCACTGGATGGTTATGTGCTGAAGCCACACTATTTATAGTAAAGAGGATTAATATTGTATCCAGCTAAAAGGGGCAAAGATCGAGCCCTGTTGTGCTCTAAATAGTCTTGCATTCTTGAATGGACTAACTGTAACCATGTAGCTAGATCTTCAATCTCTGTACTAATTTGAAGTTTGTCAGTGGTGGAGCAGCAAGTGAGTTTCTCTTCCCAGAGTATCCAACTTCCATCCTTCATTTTTAGGTATGTTGTTGAAATGGTTGGGCTGCTAGTCAGTGATGACACCAGGGCAGTGAAGTGTTGGTGCTAGTATCACCATTAAAGGTGAAAGGACAGGATTGTTGCCACATTGGTTTGGACTTGGGAAGTCAATATAAATATTAACCTGCCATTATTTAGCCCAAACCTGCTTATTGTCTAGTCCTAGCAGTTATCTGTGAAGTGTTTCGTGTAGAAGAGTTGAGAATCTAGCTGACCGCTGCAGAACAGTCAGCAAACAGGCCAGCTTCTGATTTTATGTGGGAGGGAAGGCCATGCAGTTAAACAACTGAAGAGATTATTGCAGTGATGTCGTGGAGCAAATCCATAACCATTTTCATTACAAGGTTTTTCTGTTGGGCTTGATTGATTTTCAGTTTTTCTAGACCTAATGATGCATGGCCAGTTAAACACTGCTTTGGAATTATACTGGCCTCTCCTTCTGAAACACAGTTCTTGCACCCATGTCTGAAACAAAGCTGTAATTGGCTGCAGCTAAGGGCTATCAACAACATACCTAAAAGTGAAGGCTAGAAGTTGGATACTCTGGGAAGAGAAACTCACCTCCTGCTCCACCACTGACAAACTTCAAATTGGTAGATAGGTCCAGCTGTATGTAATAGTTAGTACATTTAAAGAAATGTAAGACAGTTTAGTGCACAACAGAGCCTGATAACTGGATACAATATTAATCCTCTTATTTGTTTGTGGAATGTGAGCATCTCTGGAAATGCAGCATAATTGCACTGCCCTAATATCCTTTTGAGAAGAGCAGTCAATGCCTCTTTCTAAATGCAACATCATCTGCAATATCTAGTAGCTCTCCCTCAGTCAATTAACAAAATGGCTTGAATTTTTCATCTGTGCTGACGAGTTGTGTTGGCAGATTCCATCGAAATCCATTATTAGCTTAGGAAACAGAACAAATTCCTTTAAAACTACATCTTGTTTCTGCTTTTCCAAGCTGAATAATCTTACATTAATTTCTACTGTTAGTTTAGTTATTCAAATGAAGAATTCATCAATCAAGTCATAAGCCTTAAATTTCCTTACTAGCCTTTAATGAGTAACTTTTCAAGGTGGCCACTTATGATTCTGATTAAATTTTAAACTGTGTTCAAAGACTGCAAACTATTTAATTCAGCAACGTGTTAAGAAGTGAAATCTAATCTGGTCCCACTCATTTAGGCAATGCAACAACTTCTGTTTCATGACCTCTTGTGTCTAATTAGTTTGTCAAGAGATTTTGAGGTATTTGGGTCTCAAATATTGTTTTTTCTGCCTTTCAGATGATAAAAAAACTGATATTGACCATGAAACTGTGGTGGAGGAACAGATCATTGGAGAAAATTCTCCACCCGATTACTCTGAATACATGACTGGGAAGAAACTTCCCCCTGGTGGGATACCAGGCATTGATCTCTCTGACCCAAAGCAGCTGGCAGAATTTGCAAGGTAAGCAGTTTTACAAACATACATTCCTTCAAATCTATCGAGATCAGCGAAATCAGAGGGGCTGCTATAGTTCAGAAAGAAAGGAAACCCATGACCGCCATTACCTCAGAGGAACAAGGACTGCTAAGTAAGTAGGGCTTTGTCTGGGAGCAGTTTTTTTTAAAATAAGTTATTTTCTTTTCCTATGTTCTTCACAAAGTAGGCACCTGAAGTAAATAAGAACAAGAGTAAGCATTCAGCCCTTAGAACTTGGTCCACTGTTCATTATGATCATGGTTGATCATCCAACTCAGTACCTTGATTCTGCTTTTGTTTCATACTGTTTGAACCCTTTAGCCCTAAGAACCAAATTTAATTCCTTTAAAACATTCGATATTTTGGCCTCAACCATTTCTTTGGCAGAGAATTCCACAGCCTCTTAACTCTGGGTGAAGAAACTTCTCCTGATCTCAGTCCCAAATGGCCAACTACATATCCTTAGTCTCCCTAGTTGTGCACTCCCGGTCATAGGAATATCCTTCCTATATTTAGGCCTGTTGGAGTTTTATAGATTTATATCAGGTCCCCCACTCATTCTTCTGAACGTAACTGATCCAGTCTTTATTCTTAAGTCTGTCCTTCCATGCCGGGAATCAGTTTGGTAAACCTTTGTTGTACTTGCTGCATAGCTTGAATATATCTCCTCCGATAAGGAGACCACAACTGCACACGGTACTCCAGGGCTATCCAAGGTCTTGTATAATTGCAACAAGACATTCTTGCTCCTGTACAGCACTATGCTAGTTAAATAATCAATATTTAGTAATTTAAATTTAATGAGCTCATTATGCCAACTTTCATGAAGTTTCAGAAATATTACAGTGCAGAAGGAGGCTGTTCTGCTTATAGTGCTTATGCTGACTTGTTAAATGAGTGCCAATTTCCTGCTTCCTCATATCCCTGCATGTTATATAATTATCCAGTGTCCTCTTGAATGCCTTTAGGATGTTGTTTTAATGGGAAGAATTTAAAAAAAAAAAAAAAAAAATTGGTCTCACTCAAGTTAATGAGGATTGCAGGGAAATGAGGATCCTACTTCCTGATATGGAATGTATATTCTCTTGCCCAGAGGGATACTTGGCTAAATCCAGGGACCTTAGGCTCATGTTGGCAATTTTTAGACTAGACTCCATGGTGTGAAGAGATACTGTGGGAACTTAAAATGGTGTCAGTTCCCATTACATTATGTGCAAGTTTCCCAACAGTTTGTGAGGCATAATTATCCTACCCACTAGGGAAATTTATCAAACTGTTTAACTGAATCTCGTCTCCTAGTGATTAGCCTGCCATTCCAGGTTACTAGTGAGCCAGACTGATTATCAAATCATGACCAAGCGCTCTGGCACAAGTATTGGATTTCAGAGATTGTCTTTGTGAGTGTATTGTTCCTATAAGCCCGTTTTCTGACCTGTATATACATGAATATTAGGAAGTAGCACATTCAGTAAGATAAAAGCTCATCTGATAGCAACTTCAAAATTGCCTTCCCACCTACCCTGGTAACCTTTCACCTCCTTGCTTACCAAGAATCTTGAGTATTCCCAATTACTCTTTGTATCTGCATACAAACCTTTTGATTCATGTACAAGGACACTAAGATCCATCTGCATCTCAGCTCTGCTGTATCTCATCATTTTAGATGATTATTATTCTTCCTGTCAAAATTGACTATCACTTTTCCAACATTACACTCCATTTGCTATGTTTTCACCCATTTATTTAATCTATCAATATCTTCTTGCAGCCTCCTTAGGTCCTCTTCACAGTTTACTTTCTTGCCAACCTGCGTCATCAGACTTGGCAACCATACCTTCCATCTCTAAATCAAACTTATTTACATAAATTGTAAGCATTGAGGTCCCAGCACTAATTCCTTTGCACTCCCTACTTATTACGTTTTGCTAGCCTGAACAGTATCCATTTATGGCTACTCTCTGCTGCTATTAGCCAGCCAAATTTCTAACCATGCCAATATGCTACCCCTTACCCAATGAGATTTTATTTTCTGCAGTAAATTCTGATGTGGCACCCTGTGAAATACCTTCAACTTACCAAATACCTTCTGGAAATTGTAGATACATTCACCAGTTCCTCTTTACTCCAGCTCATGTTAGCACTTCAAAGAGCTGTTAATAGATGGTCAAATGTGATTGAATTGGACCATCCCTTAATCATGGGAGTTTAGGAAAATTAAAACCACTGCTTTATTAATGAATTAACTCATTAGCCTCTTTTAAGAGCCTAGGATGAAGTTTATCATTACACATGCACAACCCACTGCTCCAGCAATTTATTAAGTTTCACCTCTAGTGATTTTTTTTTTTTTTTTTCTCTGGAGTGTGTTCCATTTCCCAACTTAGCGCTGGGTCTGGGATGTTATTTGTATCTGCTGTATTGAAGACTAAAATATCTGTTCAGTTAATTTGCCATTTCCTTATTTTCAATTATTAAATCTCTAGCCTCATTTTCTATAGGATTGCCATGTACCTTGTAAATTCCGTGCTGTTAAATTCCCTTAGATTTCTGGCTAGCTTTCTCTCATACTTCAATTTTTTTCCTTTTATTAATTTTTTTTAATCATTCTTTGATATCTTTGTTTTGTCCAATATTTTCATCTGTTACCTTTATATCATTAAATGCTTTTTCTTCAGTTTGATATTAACTTCAACATTTCTAGTTAACCACAGATGTTGGGTTTGTCTGTCTGTTTGAATTTTTCTTGCTTGTTGCACTGTATCTATTTTTGTGTATTTTGAAAATTCTGAAATACTGTCTTAAATGTCTGTCACTGCATCTCTGTCTGTTAATCTAATTTGCTGATTTGTTTTAGCTAGCTCTATTTTCATGCCTTCTTAATTTCTCTTATTTAATTTGTAAGTAGTCTTGGACCCACTTCTCTCTCCCTCAAACTGAATATAAAATGCAATATATTATGTTTGCTGCTACTGGGGGTGCATTCACAATGAGATCATTTGTTAATTATTGTGCAGTAATAATCTCTGTTCTCCCTTCCCTTCTTTTAACATGCCCTCTTCTTCAAAGAGGATGCAGGGGACCTCTGATTTATGGAAACCTGTACTTATGAATGTGATAGCATAAAGGGGTACAATTTTAAATATCCAACAAACTGTCATTTCCTGCAGTTACAAATGGCTACTTTGTATTGTCCCACTTGTGAATGGAGCCAGGAACGGAACCCATTCACCACCCTGGGACTGCATGTCATTATTTGATTAGAATGTTTTTGCACAATTCATTTGACATTTCAAATTTTGACATTTTCTCCATGTGAACTGCCTAGCTCCTTGCTCCTTCCCTGTTTACATTCCATGTTGTATTTATTTATTTTCAAGCTTTCTTGAAGAAGAATCTGGCATTCCAACTGTGCTATGGAAAATATTTTTTCTACCTTTTCGTCACTTCTTTTGGTTGAACATTAGATTGTAAAGAACTTCGTCAGAAGTCACATGACACCCAGATTATAGACCAACAGGTTTATTCCAAACCAACCGCTTTCAGAGCGCTGCTCTTTCCTCAAATGAAACTTCAAGATCCACTTCGCCTGACAAAGGAGCAGCGGTCCAAAAGCTTGTGACTTGAAATAAACCTGTTGGACTATAACTTGGTGTTGTGTGACTTCTGGCTTCGTCACCCCAGTCCAACACCGGCACCTCCACATCACGTAAAGAACTTCAGTTAATTAATTGCGATTCTTGTGGTGTGGCTTTGGTAAGATCCTGGTCATTGGGAGTCAGGTACTTCCTTTAGGGATTTAATGACAGCCAATTCAACATCTTTCCTTCAGACAATCTTATAAATGTTGGTGTGCAGTTTGCAAGACAAGGTAAATTGTAGTTGATGGATTTATCAAATGCTCAACATTTGAGTGCACAATTGTAAAACGGGTTTCATGAATCATTAAGTACAATGTTCATTTCCTATGTGTCTTGGTACTTATTGCCACATTCTACACAGGATGAAGCCAAGAAAGCAGAAAGAAGATGATGCACCTAGAACCATAGCATGTCCTCACAAAGTGAGTATGTGAATTGGATAGTGATGATGTAAGTTTGTTATACAGCAAAAATTAGTTGACGTTGATGGATTAAAAGAGATTTAATGGGATTTGTAATTTGTTACTTGCAAGCAGTGGTGGCTGTTCTACTGGTAGAAATTCTTATAAACAAAAAGTACTCTTAAAGAAGCAGGTCATACATTGTATTTGTCACTCAAGTTATGGTGTGTACTACCTTTTGATTGGCACATTTACTTGTAATATTGTTTACTTGCATCTTGGGTTGTGTCGTGCTTCATTTATGTCAAACCTCTGATTGGGAAATCTTTAAAATATAGCTGAAAAGACATTAAATGTATAATTTATTAAAAATGCTAAGCTAAATATACACAGTACTGTATCATAAGATGCTACAACGCAGGTATATGTTACTTGGACCATTAGTTCCACACAGGTCTTCTCAGCAGGGCAGCCATTGGAACTGAGTACCTGTTGGTATGAATTTGAGCTTTCAAGAAGTTCAGCTAATTTCATTTAGTCAGGCTTTGATTTAGATACGTGATCTTATTTCTTTTTAAGAGCCTTTCCGATCTGCTATTCGTAGCTATTGCAGTTGATTCTAAAATATTGGAATGTTGACTATCAACTGGTTTAGGAGTATTTTACAAACTTCATTTGTTCAGCCAATATTGTAAATGGCTCTGTCCCTTTAGGCATTGTCCCTCTTGTCTATACGTCTGTTTGTCTACCTCTTCTCAAAAAGCTAACCCTTGACCTCCCTGTCCTCGCAAACTAACTTCCCATCTCCAAACTCCCGTCCCTCTCCAAGTTCTTGACCAATTTACCATCTTGTAAATCTATTCCTTTGTATAGAATCCATGGCTCAGGATTCAACCCCTACCATGCACATGAAATGGCACTTCACAATGTCCCAAATTCCATCCTGTCTAATTATGACAAATGTAAATCCTCCTTCCTTTTATCCTTTTCAACCTAACTACAGAGGCTGGCACAATTGACCATGCCATCCTCTTCTGTCACTACACTGTCTAACTGAGTGGAACTGCTCTCCTGTGACTCCATTGTTGTCTTTAATCGCAGCTAATGAATTTCCTTAAACTGGATTTATTTTCATGTTTCTGCACTGAAATCTGTATTGCCCTTGCATATATCCTTGACCTTTTTTGCTCTTTCATCTGCATGCTGTCCTTTGGTAAAATCCTCAAGTATAGCATTGATTTTCAAATGCACACTGAATGCAGCAGCTTTACCTCATGCCCACCTCTTGACTGCTCCAGTGCTGTTATGAAATGTTAATCTGAAATGCAGTACTGGATGAGCAGAAATTTCTTCCCAATTAAATAGTGAGAAGATTGAAGCTTTTGTTTTTATTCATACTCCAAATTCCATTCGTTAGCAAATTTCTCCACCCTGTGTCCCTAGTAATGTTAAGAGCTAAAACCAGTCTCTTCATGATTTTGATTCTTAGGTGAACTATAACATTTGTCTAAGACTCCTATTTTCAGCCTGTCTCCCAAAATCCACTTCTCGAGATCATCCAAAACTCTGCTATCTCTTTCTTAACTTGCAGCAAGTCGTGTTCCCTTATTAGCTGTCTTCTCACTTGTCATTTTTATATTGCTCTGATCTCTTTGCGTGCTCTTTTCTCTCGCGCGTTCTCGTCTGAGATTCCTGTACCACTCAAATTGACCTTTTTAGCATTCCCAAGCAGAATTGCTGCCACGTTTCCAGTTTCCTTGGCTTCAAGCTCTGAAATTCTCTCAACACTTCTCTACATTGGTGTTTTTCTTTTTTAAGTTACTCATTAAAATCTATCTGTCCAAACTTCTGTCAACTTTTTGTCGTGTTTAGTGTCATATTTTGTATTTTAAAGCCTAAGCATGTCCTATTCTGTTAAAACTCTAAAATAAAAAATGGTTTAAATTATGTATAATGGTACGATTTTGTTTTCTGGCTATGGACCCAGGCATTGTACCGTATTAGAAAATAGGAATATGAAATGCAGAATTCATATTGTAGCTGTTGATTAATTGCTGCTGTCATGTTGCGGTAAAATGCCAAGATGGTCTCAAATTCAGTCATTGGTCCATGTTGAGTTAGTCGTTTAAGGCAACGATGGGATGTTCATAGTCCACCTCATGAAACAATTACAAAAGGAAAATTGAGCACCAGTTTTGCTGCTGATGCCCAGTTGTTGCATGCAGGTTTGACAGTTGCTGTGATGTAGAATGATCTGACAAGTTGCTAAATTGATATGTAAGTAACTTTTTTTGATTGGAAGACTATAAATGTCATGGTGCTATACCTCTGCATAATGAGCTACTTTTGCAACCAGACCCGTATTGGGAAAAAAAATTGAGGTTTTATGCAGAATTATTACCATACTGTTAGTTCACAGTATATAGTATATTATGTGCCGGTGCTGCAAAGCTTATTTAATGAAACTTTAATGGAAGCACCATAAAATGCAATTTGTGTAATGTTAAAACCTCATTACGTTGGAAAGCTCTGAGATCAAAGACGAATAAATTTGAGCAATTTTTAAGTCAGTAGGCTATAGTCTCTTTAAATATAATCACAACCACTGCAAATATTATAGAAGATCTGTGATTAGAAAAAGTAAGAGAACTTTCATGACCTCGGGATGGCCCAAAACACTTTGCAAACAATTTAAATACTGGCTGAATTATAGTAATATGACCCAGCAGCTAACTTGTGTCCAACATGGTTCCATGAAAGCCAAAAGATAATGACTGAATCATTGATGTTGTTTAGGCCACAGATGAACTTGCCCTTTTAAAATAATGCTGTGATTTTATTTTTGCATCCATTCGAATGAGTGGACAGTCTCTGTGTAATATTTTGCCTGAAAGGTCTCTAATGCTTACAGTGCTACACTGGATTGTCGGCTAGATGTTTTGCTCAAGTCCCTAAAGTGAGATTAAAGCATAAATTCTTCTGACTGAAGTAGCTGTGCTGAGCCATAGCCATAGCTGACATATGCAATATTGGCAATTGAAGTTTAATGTACATGTGATTTTTTTTTTGGAAGAGGAACCACGTTTAATTGACCCCTAATGTGAAATGAAATATGTATAGGCTAACCCCATTGACTCTGTACCTGACATTCCTGGAAACGGGTCTGTTAATTTCATGAGTGCTATTGTACTAAATTCCTAAATGACTCATTCTGCCATATCTGCAAAAGAGTTGCTCAAACAATTTGAGCAAGAACATAGATAATGTCCTCAATATCTGTTTAAACTGTACAAATAGGAAACTTGAATGGGTGTGAAAAGATATGGAACTATGATGTACTAGCCAATTAATATCTCCTTGCTGGGATTAGTACATTATTTGATGCGTAGCTCATTTGTGGTTTGGTACAAGCAGAGCAATTTGAGTTGGCCAGATATCTCGTTAATCAGTTGTCCAGATTGATAAATTACATATCTTGCCAGTTTAAAGTTGTCTATTTTGAATTCTGGGTAAATAGGTCTTTTGATAAAACTGAATTGAACCTGAATGGTGCAGTATTAAATTGCAGGCTGAATTTTCTATTTTTGTTTTGCATTGTTCTATCAAAATGGACACTTTAACTTCTATTCTAATGGGAATTTAGTTAAACCAGGGCAAACAAGTTATCTTTTAGTTTTTTTGGGATAATAATCACTAAAACATGTGCTAAGATTCCTCCTGGGTGATGTTTAGACTTGGGTATGTTTTCTCTGATCCAGACAGTTATTTGTATAGTGTGTTTGAAGTCTAGGAATTATGAGCTCTGTTAGATCGTTCTTCCTTCTGATTTTCTGGTGTGTTTTTTTTCATTCTTGAGCTACTCCTAGTTGTACTAGAAAGTGTCCAGTAGACTAATTTTCTTGCTTGAACCTCTGATGTTGTTTGTTCTAAAAATATCCGGTTGAGAAATCTGAAATATAAGATTCTTAACTTTTATAATTGTCCTTTTCAATTACATTGGTTTCAGCACTGGATTATTTTATTGATTTTATTACTGTAGATATATACTGTCTTAAATTACATTTTAATTCATATGATTTGAAACTATTTGTTTGATTTTTCACTAGTCAGATCAAGGTTTCATGGAGATCTAATGTTTAATGATTAGAACCTTTTGGGTGTGTTAGATGTTACTGAAAGTCTTGTTTAGATGATTTTGCTGAAATATATTCGTATATGGCAGTGCAATAAAGTTCACATGAAAATTAATGAAGGTGTGACACTTAAGCAAAAGACAAACAATTATGGAAATACTAAAGCCGTAAGGCTAAAAAAATTTTTTTGAATAAAAAAGGATGTAACAGCTGATGCAAAAGGTTTGTGTTATATTTGTAAGTATTCTGGAGTTAGGAATTCAGGCAGTAATACTGATGAAACTAAATTGAGGATTGTGACAATTTGTGAAAGACAACAGTAAGATATAAGCAGGCCAGAAGTTGAACAAATGATTACAGGTGCAGTTTAATATGGGGGAAAACGGTGCCACCAACCTAGGTGGTATTACATTTCTACCTATTAAAAGTAATAGAAGCATGTGCTACCGTAAAGAAGAATTTGCATTCTCAAAGCATCTTTTCTTCATATCAGAACTCTATGGATCATCTTTTTTTTTCAAAAAAAGGGCGCACTCTATGCAGAAATGAGAGGTCAGACAGGGCACTGGTTTATTGGCACCTCTAAGTCTAGCACTAACATGGGCTTGGATTATGACCTCGGGTCTCTGAAGTGGGACTTGAAAGCACAACTTTCTTATTCAGTGGGAAGAGTACTGAAATGAACCAAAACTGAGTTATAATTTTTGTTACTACTGCACTCTTGATAAACCAGCAAAAAAAATTGTATCCCTCATACAGTGAAGTTTACTGTATTATTGTGTCTCATTATTATAGTTTTTAAATTTAATTGCCTCAATGTAAATATATTTGTTCAATTGAATGGCCACACAAAAAATATCAACAGTTGGGTCAATTTTGAGTCAATTTCTTATCAAATATCGTGATCTACCACGATGTCCAAGTAGTCAGTTGAGAGTGCAAGTGAGAAGGCTCTTTGCCGGTAAGTTTTATTTAAGATAAAGTTGCATTTTTATTTGTGATTTATACTGTAAATGTACAACAGTGATGTGTACACCCCCTGCATTATGTTTCTATTACTTTGTCTTTTACACTTGATTATGTGCACCTCTTGGTTATCCGGAATATTTGACCAACCAGCACGCTCCTGATCCCATAAGTGCCGGTTAATTAAAAAGTTTGCTGTACTTTGGAATTTTTACAAAAATAAAACCAAAGCATTTTATTGTGGCATCAACTCAAGTATCAAGAATTTGTTTATTTATTGAGTACAGTATTTTACATGTTTTTGTTGGTTTACCTGTTCACTAATCACAGCCACAGTGGAGTGGCAGTATTGCAGTATAGTATCTAAGCATTAATCTTAGCTTAATCTACCTCAGATAATTAACAAAAAATATCTTGGGGACAAGTTGAGAGGAGGTTGTGGCATAGTGGTAATGTTACAATCTAAAGATCTAGGCTAATGATCTGGGGGCACTGGTTCAAATCCCACTATGGTAGCTGATAGAATATGAGCTCAGTTAATAAATCTGGAATATAAAGCTAATCTCAGTAATGGTAATCATGTTTTAATTTAACAATAAACACACCTAGTTCATTTAATGTCCTTTTTTTAAGGGAAAGAAATCGGCCATTCCCACTTGGTGTAGCTTTTGTATGATTCCTGACAATGTGTTTGACTGTTCGCTGCTCCCTGAAACTGCCTAGCAAACAATTAAGCTTGAGCAATTAAGGATAGGCAGGAAATGCTCATCTTTCCAGTGATACCAAAGTCCAATGAAAGAATAAGATTTAAAAAATGGAATGGACTTGACTGAGTATCATATTGAGGATCTAATTTAAGTATAGTTGCTGATGAGTCAGTAATTAAATGTAAGTTAAACTTGTGTTACTTTTGTGGGTTGGTGGGGGTTGGGAACAGTCTATAATGGTTGCTTCCGATCTTTGAAAGTGAACCGCTGGTGAAAGATTCCTTTGCAGTATGCCTACATGGTTGATTTTTGCATTATTGTGGAACATCTAGTAAATTGCAGGTATATTCAGCTGGCCCATATGAGATGTTTGTTAAATCTTTGTGCCATTCACTATTTCTTTCTTTTGTAAACTTTCATCCTGGACTCATACCCCTTTTATACTAGGATAAATGACTGACTGCTTCCTGGAATGAACATGATGAGAATAGATAATTCAAATTGAGCCTGATGGCTGCTGGAACATTAAATGCCTGCAAGGTCATAGTTTTCCCATAGCCTGTTACAAATTTCAACAATTCTGATTCAGTAAATGATCTTTTGTCAGCAAGGAGCAGCACTATCTTAGTGTAATCTGGAGGCAAAAGAGATGGTGCATGAATCACTACTGATGTTTTTTTTTTAAATTAGGTGAATGCTGAATGTGAATTGTTTGAAATTTCTATCGGTGCTTTTTCTGTCGTCTGGAAGTGCTGCATTCTGTCATTGGGTGGCTGTAGCTTTGCAGGACAATGAAGTTCCCAATAACAGCAAGGAGGACTGGATCATGATAGTGCTTTTATGGCTATTTTGGATCATTTTGTAATTTGCTCCCTTGCTCAACTTGTTTTAATTGAGTTTTATAAGATTTATTCTTGCTGCACTATACCTTGAATGTAATAATTTGGACGTACTAAAGTTATATTGCTGCCAGATGTGGTTACTTGTCACTGAACAAACCTTCCTGTTTTGCTACTTGTATGCATCATGTGTTGATCAGTATTTTGCTTCTACATTTGAATAATTTTACCCCTAGCACAGATGTAAAGTTCTACCCAAGTGATCAATTTTAGAATTTTGGATGGACAGCGCAGCAGTTAAGATTTGCATGCAATATTGTATGTGGTAAAGATATGATAGGACAAAATTCAGTTAACATGAGAAATGGCATGACAAATATCAGTTTATTGGAAAACTAATCTCCATAGTCTCAGAACGTTGGTATCTGGCTTAATTTGTTGTAGCTTATTACAAATATTTAACATATGTTATTTTCAGGGTTGCACGAAAATGTTCAGAGATAACTCTGCCATGAGAAAGCATTTGCATACCCACGGCCCCCGAGTACATGTGTGTGCCGAGTGTGGAAAAGCTTTTGTGGAGAGTTCAAAACTGAAGCGACATCAACTTGTTCACACTGGTGAAAAACCGTTCCAGGTAAAGCCTGTTAAGTATTGTCCGCTTTCCTCTAATGCTAATTGTCAGTATAGAATTTTATGCATTGATGGATATGGTGTTTAGAAATTGTGGTTTTGCAGAAATGTTATTCCTGATAATTACAAAAGTAAGCAATTCAACATTGCCTTTGTGTACTTGAACAACCTGAAGAGTTAAAACAAGTAAAAGTCCAGACATGATTTGTTCTGTTACACTGCAAAAGCTCTTGAAATTTTTACTGATTTAGCAAATCAACATGTTGACAGAAATTGAACTAGACCGTATAAGTATTGTGGCTACAAGAGCAGGTCAGAAGCTAGAAATTTTGCAGTGAGTAATTCTGTTGCTAACTTCCCAAATCCCATTCACCATCTACAAGGCATGAGTCGATTAAAATGTGG